GTTCCTGGATTTGTTCAAATCTTTCGAAGTTCACTTTTTACCTCCATTCCAATGCCAGTTTTTTGAATAGAGTTTGATGCTGTTCAGAATTCTTTGCTTTCCCCCAGCGAACTTAATGAACTCCTTAGTGTAAAGATGTTTAAAGAACATTATGGTAATGGGGTTAGTAAGAGGGGTTTTTTCTTGGACTGCAAGTTCACGGACGAAAAGCGGAGCATGCCTCTGTAGAGAAGCTGTGCAATATTTTGCCTTGCATAAAGTACAAAGAAAATATATAAAAAATACCAGAAGAAAGTACAAAGAAAATATTCTAAGAAATTATAAAAAAGAGTAAAAAGGAAATTATTTTTCCCTCTATTATAGTTTTATACAACTGTAGACGATAAAAACCAATTAAAATGATATTTTGAAACCTAATCACCATTTGATCTTCGGTTAGCTAGCAATGCTTCGAATGACGATGCAGCGGTCCCTTTTCCCTTTGATTTTGATATCTTTGCATTTATAATTTTTGACTGCAATATTTCATTAGTTGGACGTTTATTTAGCATTTGCAGAAATCCATAATATATCTAAATTGGCCAAATTCCGTGCAGGTAAATACTGCCGTTAGCTTCAACTATCGTTTTATCCGCTTCTAAATATTATATCCTCGAGGCCGATATTGGTATGAGTGACCCACCGTGGGAGAACAGAAGGCTAAGGTGGGATAGGAAGAGTTTGATACCGTCAACCGCCCACTCAAAGGTGGTAACCAGCTCCTCTAGAGACTGCGCTACTCCTACTCTAACTTTATAACCTCAACCATCATTATTTTCAAACTCGACTATTTTTCAATTTTGTTGAATTTCAGGTCCCATAGCGCAGGAGCGGATGCGAATCTCATCGTAGAAGTGCCGTCGTCATCCGACATGCGTGCGTTCAATTTGATGAGCGCACGTGATGCGTCGGGAAATTCAAATGTGAAATTTCTTCGAGCCACTAAACGCTTTTTCAAAAAGATCTACTCGACGGCTACCCTGCCGAATAAGAAGTCAGCATCGCAGGACTCGGAATCGCATTTCCAGAAATCGCAACAGTTCTTTGACATCGGGTAAGTGAAGAGCTCAGAGAATTCGTAACGTTAATGTAGTTAACGCCGTAGGTCTCTCGCACCGTAGTGCACCTACTATTTTTCTTCACCTCCTATTCCTAGATTTTTTGGATTTTCTAAGTTCTTCGCGTCCCGTGAAAAGCATTCCAAACCATAGTAGCATGAATCATACCCTTTTTACTGAGTAGAATGTGGACGTTCCTGACGGCTCAGAGTGTGGCGCGTGGCCACGATTCTCGCTCGCTGCTAAAATCGCTGCAGCTCATATTCGGCAGTGACGGTCTTCTTATGTCTGCCTTCACTCCCTTCTTGTGCTTTCCTCACCTGGTGTCTCTTCTGGGCGCTTTAGTTTCTCCGCTTATGTTAGAGCTGTCCGCTTCACAAGTGAAGGGGTTCTTTGATTTTGGTGGTTTTGGTGGTCTCTTTTGGTTTTTTTTCTTCAGTGGTAGTTCCATTCGTGCTCCTTTTACACTTCACCTTCGTGCAAACCACCAAGATCTTGTAGTGGTGGAGTAGTGCTACTTGGAAATTGTAAAAATTGTAAATTCGGAAATAAATCGGGAATCTTTCCATAAGTCAGGTGATGTTATTAAAAACCCTTTTCTGGCCAACATGGTTTCTAAGTGGAAACTTCGATTCTAGTGGCCTGACGTTTCCACGAGATCCTCCTCCTCGAAGGCCTCTAAACGTGGCTCAAGATTTGAGATATGTCCTTCTAACCGCCAAACTTCTTCTCCCAAGAGGAGCTTTTAACGGTTTCAAGCACATATCTCGAAGCATTAATAAAGCTTCCACCTAAAAACCTCGTTGACAGAAGAAGAACATTATAATGACAACAATGTCGTGGTCCTACGAAGAAAGAAGCTGGAGATTCCCAATAAAATTTCTCCAGAAGATTATCACATTCAGAAATTATGACGTGAAATTGTAGATTTCAAAGCCAGTCGAAAGTTAAGCGTAGGCTTTTCCTATAAATCAACTTCGCAGTGGTTCTGAAGTTTTGTCCCCACATAAACTGAGTTTACGACCTTAGCGGGTGATGTATGCACGTTTGACAGCGCACTATTTATTTAGAAGTGATTAATAGCTGGTGATAAAAGAGTTCGATCTTCTCAACACTTCGAATTTCAGCTTTCACACTCCTGTGCTTGCGGATGAGCGGGACTTTTCACGAATAGAAGAGTTTCATAATTACGGTCATACCTACATCGACACCTGCTATCCCGACAGTGGGCTCGATATGGACAGGTGAGCCAATGCCGTGTTTATCGGACTTCAACTTATATTAAAATTGAAACGCTGAATTTTTTTTCAGCTTAGAGTTATTATTTTCCAACTTTCATTCGGAATCTTGCTTATCCTTCATGTTCCTTATTTCTTTACCGCGATTTTCGAGCTTTTCAGATCATTCACACCCAGGATCAGGGTCAATGGTTCAATACATGCTCATCGTTTGATTCAAGAGTGAACGTATTCGGATCAAGCTGGAAGAACGTTTGACGATTCTTCTTCGAGGACGCATTCGTAAGAGGAAAAATGGTGAGCATTTGGCGAGACATCTGAGGCAATTGTTCACCTTTACTGGTCACCTCACCTTAATGAAATAGGGTTTTGGTTGAAATTTGTCTAGGCACAAACATAGCATTGGCAGGAGTTTCTACCAGGGCGTTGTAGTAGAACACGAATATCAATGACAGGTTTATGAGCGGAGTTGTGACATCCTGGCCGCTATCACACCAGTTTTGCGCGCAGGGGCACCACATTGTGAGGCCTACAACGGTACTACAACGATCCAATATGGTATTATGCTTCTAAGGCATCAAGCTCGCCTGATGAGGTTTCTCCATAAATGTACAATTGGGTGTCATAGCCCTTACAGCGGACGTCCCTGCGCGCGCGCTAGCCATTTTCGCGCTAGGCAAATAGATAATTCGCGTTCACGGGTTGAGCTTATCCGGGCGGCAACGTGTCAAAGCCACACAGTCCTCGGGGCACCATTTTATGGAAGCTTCGGCTTAGTTGGTTGAGAAACTGGACAGTAAAGCGGGGATAGAAAAATAGTGTCCTTCAGCTGCTAGCCCCTTGCCGTCGGACTATAGCCGAAACAGAGTAGAGCGTTTACTTTGATGACCTCAGCGCTGGTGAACTCGTCCAACGAAGAAGCCAGTTTTGGAATTAAGGACTCTTTTTCGCTGGCTTTAGGCAATTAGAACCTTCTACTGCTGCACCCCTTCTCGGCTTTACTTTCTTTCGGATCTCAATGGTAGACCAGTTTGCCGTACCATCTGCCCTTAAGGATATTTGGAGGTTTTGCTCTCGTACTTTTCGTAATTAGATTGCCAAGCCTTCACTATTACACCACGCACCCTATGATCGTTCTCAGTGTCCCAAATTTCGTAAAACAGTTACTTGTCGACTATTTTTCATACCTGAATTTCAGCATGCGATGCGTGCACGTGACGCGGCCATACTCGCCGATCTGCATCGCGTTGAATCGCAGATACAAAGTGTGAAAATGGCTCGACTCGGTATTTATGGATCGTCTCCACAACCGGTGCAAAGCCTTCCAATTTGACCCGTTCACCTCGTTAGTGTTAGATGTCTGCTTTACGCAAAATATGTCAGTTGTCCGTATTCGCTACTTATATCGGTGTCCATCATGATCGACTACTCCTCGTTAATACCCTCGCATATATTGATTGTATTCTAAGATAGCGTCTCAGAAATCAGTATTCCTGGGACACCTTCACGTAGTATCTTTATCGATTACTCTATTGGTTTCTATTGATTATGGTCTGAATATAAATGCGACTTACAATCATATCTCTAGTCGCTTAAGCCACGCTATCGTATGTTCTATCCTATATACGTAAAAATACTTCATTTCTCTTGTTCTATTGAATTTGTTGATTCATTCCCCAATGTACATTAAAAATATGTGACCCTTTATTCTGTGCGGGTTAGAATTTTATCATGATATAATAATAATGATGTGACCATCTGTGGGGCCTACCTATACCCTTTCTCGCTTGCTTGTCCTGGTTATCTAACCCCAGTGTCCAAATTGCTGAACAAACAAAATTGCCAATTCATTGTCAGACAACGCTCGAATAGTCTCCTAAGCCCTTCTCCCCATGGAGAAGATAGCCTTTCATAGAGACGCTATGTCGCAGTGTGATCTTTTACTTCTGTACCAATGTAATATTTCAGTAATGTTGTTCCGATAAATGTTATTATATCACTTGTTATAGCCGTTGAAACTTTATGGGGATTTTCTTTTCAAAGCATTTAGAGCTATTTGGACATCTTAACACATTGGCGACCAAGCAGTTTTTGGGTGTTCCCGAAAATTGCGTCCTAATGCTGAAACGCTTCCATACGGTGTACATACCAAATCAATGAGAACACAATGCGGAAACTGCTGAAACATCATTTGTCTCGTACAAATGCTTAATGGCTGCAAACCAAGCAAAAATCTCCCCGTCCCGCAAAGGTGAAACTTCGGAACGCTCTCGGAAAATTCCAATTTTCCACTGTAGAATCCACAAATGAGGTTGACACACACAATCTCTTTTTTGTCAATTGT